TTAATTAAAATCCATCAGCTTTTAAGTTTCAAATAGCTAAATTACAGTAAAATCCAAGCCATGTTTTTAAATTTAAAAGCACCTATTCCACTACCAATTGAACACCCAATCACTTAAAAAGGAGAAGTGTGTTTTATTTATCGCATGCATGTCATGTGTTATAGGTTGGTAGAAATGCTAAACTTAAAATTTTAGACAAAGAACAGGTGGGATTTTACCTAGTAAAAGCCAATCCAATAACTACCAAGGAATAGTCAGCCCAACAGACAGCTCCACTTTTACTACAAATCTGTCTTTTTGTGTTCAGTTTTGGTCATCTGGCTTGCAAATGTCAGTTTTGGGTTTAGGTGGGGAAAGAGAAGGGTTTTAGTAATTTTTTTAGTTGTTTTGATTCAATGGAATGTATGGGATATGAAATGTCATCAAAGAGATAAATTATACATTAAAATGATTTGATTAACAATTTAATGGAAGAACTACCTAAACTAAAATGACTAAAATTGAACTTCTTCAACTAAAATTTAAGACAAGTTCAAGAACCGCGAGCAAGAATAATCCAAATGCCAATCTTACTTTTACATTTTTAACTTCTTGCAGCTTCTCTCTAACTTCCAATCTCATGGGCTAAACCTGACGAACCTTGTTGTCATCTCAGCAGGCCACACCATTGGAGTTGCTCGGTGTTTCATTTTTCGCAACAGGATTTATAATGATACCCATAAAAACTATAAATTTGTTGCTTCCTTGAAATACAGCTGCCCAAGAACTGGAGGTGACAATAACACAAAGCCTCTTCACCCAACTACAAGATTTGATGCACAATACTTCAGGGATTTGATTGACAAAAAAGGTCTCCTCCGTTCTGATCAGTAGCTGTTTAAGGGTGAAGGTTGCGGTAGCAATCGGCTTGTGAAGCATTATGGCTACATTAATTCGAGGAATTTGCGACAGACTTTGGTGCTTCTATGATCAAGATGGGAAATAGGAAGCCTTTCACTGAAACTAATGGATAGATCAGAATGAACTGCAGAAAAGTTAATAACTAGGCGCTGATGATATTAAATGTGCATTGCCCGGTTTCATTGAACAAGCAAGTTGGAATTGTTTTGTCTATTGTGTTAATTTTTTTCTTATTGTTTGCTCACATAAGCCTTTTTTAGTGGTACTATGTCTTTGATTACACAGAAGAAAGGGCTAAGACCCAGGTTTGAGTCTTGTTGTTTCTACCTAAAACCTAGAAATGATAATTCCTTTTTTCTTAACTAATTGCTTTTACTGTCATTTTACTTAACAAGTATTTTTGCAAAATCAAGAGACACATCAACACTCTGCTCGCACGGTGAGACACATCATCCTCTGTTGGAGGTCACCCCACACCCACAAAAAAGCAGACATTCAAAGTGGTCAGACCATGACTGCGTCGGCAACCATGACCAACATCTATGAGTTAATGCGACTAACAAGCAACTAGCTGTTAAGACTAGAATAATATCTCAATTTAATCATCACAAATATTAGCATACATTGGCTGGAAAAGAAGCAGAGTGACAATAAACTTAGCCAAAATGTGAGCCTGACTATTAAAGAAAGGCAGTGGAGTTGAAGTGAAAATTGTGTTACCAAGATCCTAGAAGAAGCTTTCAAAAGAGCATAATCAAAACAAGCAGAAATTGTTCGATGAAAAGCAAAGACACATGGAATAAGTAATAGATTATGTATGAATGGCCTAGCTGTATCAATAGGCCCAATGCAGTTGCGAATCAAAATTGGAAATAGAGTGACAATAAACTTAGCCAAAATGTGAGCTTAACTATCACAGACCCCAATGAAAAGCAAAGACACATTGAATAAGTTATTGGGTTTTCTTTTTTGTAGTTTTATTTTTATTTTTTTCCTTTTTATTTTAGTTGTATCATTATTTGTCCTAAATCCTAGCTAGCTTTATATTCCTTTACCAATACTAAGAGCTTTTTTTTTCGAAAAAAGAATGTTTTTTAGAATTTAATTTTTCATCCTCATTAAACCAAGAACTAGGAGTAAGCAGTATTTGATTTAAATCAAAAAATAAAATCAAATCAAATCAAAATATCAATTTCGATATAATTTTAACTCAAATTTATTAAAACAAAGGAACCAAATTTATTTTGATTTTTTTTGTTTTAGGTCGGTTTTAAACTCACGCGCAAAATATAATGTTAGAAAACCCACAAGCATTCCAAACACAACATGTGGACTTCCGACGGTCCTCCTATAGACAATTTAAAATCAAGTCTTCTTTATAATAATAGCTAAGTTTTAGGAAGACAATTGATATATTTGGAAAAATTATGAACCAACCAATTGTGACATGAGCATGCCTTATCCGAGAACAATCTTAGAATTTCTAGGACTACCTCGAAGGTACCAGCACCGTTCGGACGATCTCCAAATTATTGGTTAAGGTTATCCTAGACATTCAACGATGATTCACACCTAATCCCATCAGTCAAATGGACATAATTAAATATATTTATTAAATGAACACACACTCTAGAGTTTCTTTTGTTCAATCAACAAAATTTGTAACATAAATATTTCTTTTCAATAGCATCATGAATATTTATGTCCTAGTTAGAACAATAATATGATTGTAACAAGAGAATAGACTACTCTATCTTTTATTTTTAAGTTTTGAATTTATATACTAAAATTGACTATTTATCATTTCTTTTATACGACTATCTCTACATCATTGTTTTTATAGGCTCTTGCCTCTCTCTGTACATTAATTAGTCATTGGAGGATTCTTCAATCCACAAAGGAGACTTATTTTGCCTCTCTCTCTATCTATTGTCCGATATTTTCATAAAAGAAAACATTGTATTATCAGACAATGAACCATAGACTTAAATTGACTCAGAAAACAGTCCAATAAGATCTTTGCTATGCAAGTCCATTGCACATCTCTCCATAGTTGTCATGACATGTACATCATGCTGCATACTGTCTTAGGCTAGCAACATAAACTCTATCTATTTTTTCTCCATGAGTCTAAAGCTTTTGCCTACATATGCTTTCAAGAATTATTAGCATGTGTGCTTCGAATCGCTCCTATGAAATGGTCAAAACTAAGAATACTTTCAAGAATGCAGTCACTTCATTAGTTCTATTAATTCATAGATAAAGATGAAAGGAAGGGAAAAACTAAAAGAATGTTCAAACTTGAAGGGCTTGATTGAGACAAAATAAAGTTTTGGACTTCATTGGGACATACCATAAACTCTAAGGGGAAAAATAAATATTGACCTTGGACCAGGGTGTAGGATCATACAGGCCTGATTTAGGCAGGTCAGCAGCCCAAGTTTCTGGCTCACATGTTCAGTCCACGAAAGCCCGAATTTGGCTTTGTTAAACGAGTAAATTATAGATTAGTACCTCTATTTTTTAGAAAAGAATTATTTACCTCCTTTTATTTTAAAAATTAATTATTTAGTTTACTGACCAGTATTAACTATGCTTAAAACAAAAAAAAAATCGAAATTAAAAAAAAACAATGAAAAAATCAAATTTAAAGAAAATTTAAAAATATAAATACCAAAATTTAAAAAAAAAACAAGAGAAACTATATAATTAAGCATATTTCTCAAAACTAGAGAAACTAATTTATAATTTACTCTTAGTAAACTAATAAAGCTCTCTCTCTCTCTCTCTCTCAAGAAAACAATAAAGGTATAATTTTCTCCTAGGGAAGGAACTTAAAATTTACAGAATTTTTGTTTGGTGCTCTTAAGTTAATTTACTAAAATTGGAAGGATGAGAATTTAGATTAGTAAATGCTATTTATTTTTGTGTTCATCAAAATTTAATTGGATTTTCAAATCAAGCAAAGAAGTAAAAACATTAATATTGCTTTGATTGGAAACAAAAAAATAAGATTTGAATCCTTCTAGATTTCTAGAGAATCCAAATTGCATCATTTTTTAATTTGATGATTTAAATTAAATTAGAAAAATAAAATGATAGATAATTAATTTTTTAATAATTTATCATACCCTAAATCAGAATCATACCATCAATTTCATCAACAGGAAAGAATGTTTAAATTTGAAGAGCTTGATTGAGACTAAAAGAATATTTTTAGTTCTATTAATTCATAAATGAAGATGAAAGTAAGAAAAAATTGAAAGAATATTCAAACAGAAAGAATCTTCTAAGAGAAAACGAGCAAAAGAAAGTAAGTTTATCAAATTTCTCTCTCTCTACTTCACCAAATTTTCACCTTTCTCTGACAATTTTCTTTCGCTTCCATTCAGCCATGGAAATCAACACTTCCTTTACTATACATTTATATGATAATTTTATCAATCTTGTTTGTTATAATTTCAACCTGCTACATTTAATCTTGTGTTGTACATATAATAGTATATGAATAGTTTAATAGGATGAAAAGAAAAAGAATAATTGGAGTAATTAAAAAAAAAAAGCTTCATTATTTCAGCTGAAGTTATAAAAAAAAATTAAAGAATAAAAAGTATCATCAAAGAATTCTTATCCTAATTCTATTAAGATATCCTGATTTTACTTTAAATTATTTTTTATTCTTCTAATTTTTAGATAAAATATTGGGAGTTAATTATGTTCATTAGAAATAATTAATATTAAACAAATTCAAGTTTTTTCAATTTCCAATTTCCCTGTTGCAGTTTATTGGTCCACGAGTCGTTCCAAATTTGATGCTCATGATGTATATGGCCACTATTTTCCACAGGCTTGAAAGTTTGTCAAAATTTATGTACTTTTTCTCCATTTTTTACAGGCTTGTTAGTTTGTCGATGTCTTTTTCTATATTTTCCGCTTGTTGCCATTTAATTATAGCTAGATGCATAGCAAAAATACAACCTTTAAACTAAACTTTAGTATTACCTTGTTATTATTATTATTATTATCTTTTCTCAAATTTTCTTTCCATTTGCTTTATGCCCAAGAAACCACACAGTAAATAGTTAGGGGTAAGTACGCGAATGTTGGAGAATGTTCTAGTAAAGATGGTGGGACCTACTAAGCTTGTAGAAATGTTTTCCTTTTTCAGACCTAGAGTCGTTCAAGCCATATTTCAGTCAGAAATTTAAGAATCTTGACGCGGTTAGAGCTTAGCTTTAATGCATTTTTTTCTCCCTATATAAATCCTCTGCCTTTGTTCTCTTCAGTCCCATATACAGCCGCTCCCAGGTAAGGTCCTCACTTTTTATGCATTTCGTTTTTCCCATTGCAAAAAAATAAAAATCGAGGCCTGGCTAAGCCCCAATTCCTGTTTTAGGAAGAGGAATGAAAATTCTGCTTCTAACATTGTGAGTGAATTTTATTTATTTTATTTTAATTTTTAGTTTTTATTAAATTAAGCAATAGCTACTGTATATTCTGTACTATATTGTTATTTCTTTTCGTTTATTTTCTTGCAGTTATGCATATAAAATAGTAAAAGATGACAAGCTCGATAAGAGTGCCTTTGGTATCTGACATTGGAGATAGATTTAGTCCAACTGACGAAGAACTAGTAGATCATTATCTAAAGCAAAAATTACTTGGGAATGATCAGCTAGTCAGCAGAATCCCTCAACTTGATATCTACCAGTTTGATCCCTGGGATTTACCCTGTAAGCATACGAAGTTTCATTTGTCTTTGTTTCTTTCTGTTACAAATTTTCAAGTGTGAAGTAGTTGTGTTAATTATTTTTGTAGGGATAGTTTCAAATGATCGAGAGAAATATTTCTTCTCCCCTCTCCATGCTAAGAATCCATACACCAATAATGGGAAAATCAATAGGTCAACAAAGACAGGTTCATGGGAAGCTACGGGAAAGGATCGTAAGATAACATCTGAACACAATGGCGAAGAGATTGGTACATGTAAAACTTTTGTTCATTCTTGTATTGAGGATGGGATCAAATATGTGATGCATGAGTACAGTGCAAGTTCCATTTTACCTAACTCGGTACGTAGTGTGTGTGTGTGTGTGTATATAGTTAAAGACTGATCAGCAAATTGGTACCTTACCATCATTTTTGAGTTGTACTTTTTCTTCAATTCCGTTTGTCTGTCCAATTAACTTTTGCAGAGAGTTCTGGTTTTGTGTAAAGTAATGAAGAAGAAAGATAAGAAGAGTAAAAGAGCATGCAAGAAGGTTAAAATGACAGAGGAGAAAGCTGAAGTATTGCCATATAAAAAGAGTAAAGGAGCATGTAAGAAGGTTAAAATGACAGAGGAGAAAGCTGAAGTATTGCCATATAACAAGGATATTAGTACTCCAGCATCTGATGATGGTTCTGATGTTGAGAAATGGATTAGAGGTGAGGAAGGTGGTTAAAGTTGTCATAATTATGGTATTCTTGAAACCTATTCATCAAAAAGATAATGTCATCTTGAAAATCAATATGTAGATCAGCAGGCTGAAAATTTAACCTGTGATGGTGGTGGAACGAACCATGTTCCAGAGTTTATGAGTCTTGAAGAGGTGAGACTTGAGAGCGGAGTCTTATTATGGACACTTTTCATCAATGTTTATCTAAGCCTAATGCTTTCTTGATTCTCTATACAGGAAGACTATGAAATACTACTAAGTCTGAATTCGTTCGCTGGTTATGATCAGCGGTATTATAGCCTTGACCGCTTCACACTAGATGAGCCGCCACCGATGCATACAGAGCAACTCTCCACTAATAATGGCTCTGCAGGAACTTCCATGTCTGGACCAGAGGAAGATCAGTTCTTCGGGCTTGGACCTTTGTGGGCTTGACCAGTCTGTGGAAAGAGTTTCTCATCCATGCCCTGTACTGAGAAGAAACATATAAGCTAGAAAATAGAAAGTAAGAAACGAACTGCTTTTAACTCCTAAGTTGATTTGATCACTGGGAGCAATATTTACACTAGTAATCAGCAGAAGTTTATGTATGTCACAGAAGTGTGTACTTTCTATCTGTAGTAGTTTGTGTTATTTTTATTCGATAGATGAGTCGCTTGTTCTGCAAGGCTGTTGCTCCCCTGTATTCTGAGTTTTAGTTCCGGTATCGAGAATAAAGAGCAGCAGTCCAATTCAATGGCTATGAGCAGGACAAGCGAGTTTTGTTTTTCTTCCTCATTGGTCCTAATTGTATAACCACTGTGGTTGGACCTATATATGCAATGATGTGAGCATAATATTTATAGAACTTGAACCCTAAAATAACTGAAGTTAATGTACATCCTTGTCTTGAATATGTTTGTCTAACAAGTTCTATATGCTTGTGCCAACAGCCTTGTTCTGTAATCTGTCCTGCCTTGGGTGGAGCATTTACAAGTTGAATGTTGTTCTTGCCCTTTATCCTCCGGCAACTACTAATAAGGTTAAAATTAGCCGGGGAAGAAACTTCAGTAGTACTTCTCTTCATATCAGAACCTGTAGATGACAACATTGTATAGAACTATTAGGAAAAAACAAGAGCATTTCATTTACTAGGAACCTATGTTTTCAGAGGAAAATCAATAAGACTAAATTCCTGAAAAAAGATTTCAGCCCCTTGCTAAGAAAACACTATGTTGAATACCACCTTTCGAATCAGTCCAGGACAGTGACTCTACCTTCTCTGCTGTGTGGTTTGAGCGACTAGCATGAGCTAGACAGGAGCTCTTTTAACTCGCACCAACAAGAAGATTTGAAAAGGAGAAAGCAGTGTAGCTGTACAAAAGTTCTGCTGTACTATAAGAGGAAGCGCATCAACTGAAATCATTTCGATCATATATATATGTCATAAAAATCAAATTCAGTAACTAAAGTAGTGGGTCATTGATTTTAGTCTTTACAGTAAACAATGGCAAAACATAGATAACAGGAATAGTAGTCTCGAATCGAGGATATTGCATGGTAGATTGGTAGCTGTATCCAACTTACAATGTGTGGACGTAAAGAGAGAGATGAAGCATCAATCAGGGCATTTTCCCACCTCAATTTCATCCAAATTACCAAACATTGAGCTGATTCTCATGTAATTGGATCATGGTTTAAATCCCAATTTCTTGTAAAACTAAGAACGAAAACAGGAAACTAATATTCTGACAACATTAACAGGGTTTCTACCATTTTAAGTAGGAAAAAGTGACCGAAGGTTTTCCTTCCTGCTTCGGAACTCGAGGTAGTCTATAATCTGCATATTGTTTGGAGGTCTCAGAGGAGCTCAGCTATTCTTTTATCAACATGATGTGTTAATTCTATGTTTAGGAACAATGGAATCTTGAAGCTGTCCTGTTTTATTACGGTCAACATGAAAATTTGTCGTTGTAAAAGATGCCTGTCTCCAAAAGCTCTTTTGCCTGAAATTTTCCTATGTTTTTGTTCTTTTCACACAAACAATCTGATTGTAATATGAATCTTTTCCATTATTTTTATTAATTTAATGAAGTACTAGGTTCTGCTGTATTTAGTTCAGATTCTTCCACTATTTTTCCTCTTGAATGAAAAAGTAAAATTAATAAAGCTAAATTTATGTTCTTTGTATGGAAGCATCATTTACTAGTGCCTTCAGGAATCAGGATACGATTCTGCAAGAATTCTCTTTAACCATTCGAATTAATTACAATTGTTCTCAGAATATCAGGTTTGATTAAATTCTGTATTTTGTTATTTACTAGACCGTTTTCTCATAGCATGAATACCTATCGGTATAGGTAGATAGATATAAGAAGATATGGAGAGATTTGCATCTTCCTCAGAGTAAGATATTGAGCTACCTTTTATTTAACGGTGGAATTTATAGGCACTAACATCTATCTCATCTAGGGTTACTTTCTGGTGGATTATGTGCATTAAAAATGAAGGCCACGGAAACAGGAAGATAGGGCTTTATAGCATTATTTAAACTCTTGAACGACATAAAAATAAACTGTAAGAGGAGGAGAAAAGGAGATGAGAAGCATGAAAGGAGAAGTGGAGCTCAACATTCCTGCACAGAAAGCTTGGGAGATGTACAGAGACAATCAAATCATTAGCAAAATCAATCCTGAAATGCTTGCCCTTGCCGAGTACATAGAAGGAGACGGCAGCCCTGGAAGTCTCAGGCTCTTCAGGCTAGGACCCGGTATTTTCTCTCCCTTTTTCTTCTTGTAGATGTCCCTAACCATGTATTTGCTAGCTTGATATTAAGATATCAACCCACCACATTAATTTGCCACTCCTTCACAGTGTTCACGCAGAGGTAAGCAGCTACGTGAAGGAATCCATGCAGAAGATAGAGAAGGTAGAGATTGGAAGATCAGTCACATATCGTGTTGTGGGGGGTGACCTTAGGGACATGTATGATCCATATAGGGTCACATTTTCATTTGTTCCAGTTCAAGGAAAAGAGGAGGAGAAATGTATTGCTGAATGGAATGCTGACTATGAGCCACTGACTTCATCAATGCCTCCACCAGACAAAGCAAGGGATGCTGCCCTAGGTTTCCTCAAGTCGTTTGACAAGTTTGAGCTAAGCCATTAATTAAGTGTGTAAAATGTTCTATTTATGAACACCAAACAAAATAAAATATATGGTACTTATATGTATGTTGTGTTCTATAAGGAGTGCATCCAAGGATTCAAATAACGGCCGTTACTTAATTTCACCACTGTTATATAACAGTTTCGAAACAATTTGTTATCATTATTTAGCGTTCTGAATATCTCGATGCTATTTCACATATATAACGGGGTTATTAATATGTAACCAGATAATTATGTGATAGGGTTGATGAACTTTGTCAACTCTTTAGTGATCGCTTATCATGTTTCTACCCATAAATATGCATTTTCGTTTAATTACCTCAGAAATCGGAGTACAAGGGCTCCTAAGTATGTGTCTACATGACCAATCTGTCCCTCGACAATTCTTTGTTTCTTTATGACAATAAAATGGCATCGTTTAACTAGCTTATCCACACGAAGATTAAGTCCGTCTTCTTAATCAGTTCAAAGGTAAGTCATCTATGCAGATTCATGAGAAATTTGGCCTTGGAATATAAGCAGCTGACTGCTTATTTCTCATAGAAATGAGTAACAGAAATGATAGAAATCTTCAGAATCAGCATATAACTATCCAATACGAAGACCAGAAAATTAATTGGTAAATATACATTAGAGTTCAAATTATACTGCTGTCATCCCTAGAATCATGAAAAAACTTCTATTTTTCTTACTCCTGTGAAACTGAATTTGGTCCAACCAAATTTGTCAAAATTATGATAATGTTATATAGCTGCCCTGCTTCCTGTGCTGTCAGCTGGAACTGTTCACTGTCAATCTATCTAAATTTAGTGAAGTTTGTAATTAGATCAGCATCATCTTTTTCTTTTTCTTTTTTCCAATCTGGCTTTTGCCCTTTTTAACTTCAATCAAACTAGGAAGCCAAGGCTGTACCTATTAGGCATCCATGGAAGTCTTGCTTATAAAGGTGGTAAAGATAAGAAGGGGTAAAAAAAAGGAAAGAGAAGAAATGACGACCGCCTATTATGGTTCACCATTCAAGAGTTGAGAAATGCTAGGAGGAGAAAGAGGAGCAATCTCTATCTTCCCAATATTCTGTTATTTGTAAAACCTCTCTGTCGAAGCAGTAGTAAACCCTACCCTTGGGGGGTACCCATTTGCCCCCCAAAACCCAAAATCCTCTATCACGCCCTTTCTTGAAACCCCATCAAACAATTTCCTAAACGTTTAAAAAAAATTAAAACTACAACCAAAGAAACAAAGGAATGAAGAAAACCCCGCAGAAAGAATTGATGGCATTGTTTTTCCATGGTGTAAAAGACTTACACCCTGATGATCACCACAAGAAAGCACATATTCAAGCCTTTTTCTTTGCCCTCTTTGCTTTCTATTTACTTAATAAACATCCTCAGCCCCCACGAGAGATCGTTTCCTTCATTTCTGAATTTTGAGAGAAGGTGGAAAATTTTCAAGCAAAATTCACATAACAACGTTCTTGTCTTTTTCTTAAGCTCTAAAAAAAAAAAAAAAAAAAAAGGTGAAATATCTGTAGTTCTTAGTTTTTTGAGAGTTTTAAATGATGGGAGCCATCGGCAACATAGACGAGGTTGGTGCAAAGAGTGAAGGCGGGTTGTCTTCAACATCTAAGAGTGGTGATGAGGGTGGTGGAGTCCAGCTGAAGAAGGGGCCATGGTCAGCAGAAGAAGATGCCACGCTAATAGAGTACGTGAATAAATATGGAGAAAGGAACTGGAATGCGGTGCAGACGATTTCTGGGCTGCCTCGGTGTGGTAAGAGTTGCCGGGTACGATGGACTAAACACCTCAGGCCTAATGACAACGAAGGTGCCTTCTTTACTGAAGAGGATAGGACCAATGTCGAGTTGGATTCTCAGTTTTCAGCATCTAATGACGGCGAGGGTGGTGGAGGCGAGCTGAAGAAGGGGCCGTGGACGGCTGCAGAAGATGCCATACTATTAGAGTACGTGAACAAACATGGGGAAGGGAACTGGAATGCATTGCAGAAACGTTCTGTCCTGGCTCGTTGTGGCAAGAGTTGTCGGCTCCGATGGACTAACCATCTCAGGCCTAATCTTAAGAAAGGAAGCTTCTCTGCCGAAGAGGAGAGGACCATTGTTGAGTTGCATGCTCAGTTCGGCAACAAATGGGCTCGGATGGCTGCTAGGCTTCCTGGACGAACGGACAATGAAATCAAGAATTTCTGGAACACAAGAGCAAAGAGACTCCTCCGCCATGGCCTCCCTCTTTATCCACCAGAAATCCAGCCCCAAAATCCACCAAGTTCTCAACACAACAACATCGACAACGACAACAACAGCAACAACAAAGTCAACCATGACGAAAAATTCCACTCTCTACTTACCACCCCAACCTCCTCTTTTACTTTCCCGACCACCCAACTCTCATCCCCAAGATTCCCATCTCCGACTAATACACGGACCCCTACACCTACCTCTAACGTTACTCCTGTCCGTACCCCTACTCCTATCTCCCCTCTCTCGTCTCCTACTGCTAATTTTCCTACTCTGCCACTTTTCGACTTTTCCCTCCCCAGAGCCCCTCCAATCCTTCAGACCCCTCCTCGCTTCAAGAACTTCTCCAGATCCTCTTCTGCCGCCACCACCGACAACGACACCAACACCACCTCCCCCAACAACAACATTGTTAACACCCCGCCCAACTCGCACGATATTGCCAATCCTACCTCATACTTTTCGCTACCCTTATCACCATTGCCCACCACCCTAAGTTCACCATCCAACACCAGTCCTCTCAGTTACCAAATTCCTTGTTGCTTCACTAACCTGTTCAGCAGCAACAGTAGTGAGTTCCACAGAGAGATAGAGAGGGAGAATGAGAAACTGTGTTTACTTCTTGCTTCCGTGACTCAGCCAAATCAGCTCCCTTTACCCCAGTTGTTATCACCAACATCTCCGAATTGGAATTCGGCATTTAGTGGTGTTCCTACTGCTACCACCATTCCTACTACTACTGCCGCGGTGCCTACTAAGATTGGTAGAACAAGAATAAGAAGAATGAAAAATGGTACAACTTCTAGCAAGGGTAAGAGAAATAGTAAAGTATTTGGTGCAACTGAAAGTACCAGGAATGGATTGTTACAGGATGATCTCTTGCAAGAGGCTAAAGCTGCTTTGGCAGTGAATGAAAACAGTGCTTCGGCCGAGCAGAATCATTTGACTTTCCAGGATGATCAGCAGAACCCAAAAGAGCTCACGTTCGACGATTTCAACGGAGTACAATATTGGGATCTTTCCAGCTCTCTGTCTCTGTCTTCAGGTCAGTTTCCTTGTTCATTAATTTGTCATGCAAATGCATGGATTTACCTTAATATTGATTGATGGAATAATTATTTCCATTCCATCCTTTGATTTTTTGTGCATACAGAGCTGAAGCCAACGGATGGTGAAGTAACAGAGCAGTTAAACTGTGGGATGACTGAAGACTTGACCAGGCTGCTCGACATTTTACCTTCTTCTCCCTTGCAGCTCTCTGATTTGTATACCGATGACATCTTGAACGGGCAATCTTCTGTCATAATTGACGATAATAACATGGACATCGATATGCAGCAGCAGATAGCTTTATTGTTTCCCACCACAGCAACAGCAGACCAAGACAGCTTGCCTAGGAATTACTGACAGCTTGAAGAAGAAAAAGAAGCATCAAAAGCATCAAATTAATTATTTTAGCTATTATAGTCTACTGATATTTCTGATTTGTATTGGTTGCCTTTTTCTACGTACTGCTTTTTATTAGCTCCTCAGTATTAAATAGAAAAACTTGCCGTGTGGTGGAATGGATCGGATAAAGAAATGGTGAATATATTGCTGATTGTTCCCAGGGGACCCAGTGATTGCGACGACGACCTGATTGGTTTTTCGTTGGAAGATCACCAAATCAAATCTTTGGAGGGATGATGAGACATCTAGGGACGGGAGGAGAGCTACACCTTAATTAGATTTTGTAGTAAAAAAACCCTAAAAGTATGTATATGAAGGAATCCATGCAGAAGTTAAGAAGGAGTTGGAGATTAGGTCAGTCACATATTGTGTTGTTAGGGGTGACCTTAGGAACATGGATGATCCAGTGAGGCTACGTTTTGCTTCAGGCTTTCAGTGCAAGGAAAAGTGGAGAAATGTGTGCAAAACTTACATTTTATGCTATCTATTGATGCATGTGTGAACAAGTAAATTGGTGAATAATTAAGGTGGCAAGCATATCCTCTTTTCACAAGAGATTTTGATGGTTTACAATTCTTGAGAGAAAGATACAGTGAGTTTGAATTAGTTAATTGCAAATCATTTTTCTTAAATTGGAAAACAAATCGCCAAACTGGCCCTATAATCAAGCATAACTAGGTGGAAAATCATGCAACTATGTACTCAATCCTTAAATATAGACCAGAATGCAGATTTACATTATAATCAGAAAGTGCATTCAAGAGGGAAACATCCTGTTATCAATCTAACATATCAACACATCCCTAAATTAAACCTCATAAATAACCTAAGACTTCTTAAGCTGGCATTGGTCCAACCAAATTTGTCAAAATTGTAATAATAATAGGTGCCCATTGGCTTTGCCAACCAACCATCCCTTCCTGTGCCGTCAGCTTCTTTACTCATTTGTCATCAATCCGGAACCGTTCACAGTCAATTGATCCAAACCTAGTGAAGTTCGTAATAAGAGCATTTATCATCTTTTTTACAGTTGCTCTGAATTCACCCGAGGAACTCTTGTCAGCTCTATTAACATCAGCTGCTCCATCTTTGACTGTAACAGAGCCTACTATAGCACCATCTGCATAAGCTTTGCAAGCTACCAAAATATCATGTGCATAAATGTGGAAATGACCGATGACTAAATCTTCAAAGTGCTGCAAGCAGACTCAGTTTAGTTAGCTATCGCATTGGACGCAGACAAAGTTTAAAATCCAGCAAATGACCTAAGTGAACTGGAACATGCATGTACAAATAGGACCACACAAGTGAAACCACAATGCTCTTCGATAAGATGAGAGGCCAATGCTATTGCTAAACAGAACAGAAGCTACAACAGTCCCCTAAAGCAAGGAAAAAAAATGATAATTGATGGGCAATATTAAGAGGAAACAAAAATCAAATATGAAATCAAATGACAGATGGTAAAGACACATCATCCTTTAATAGAAAAAACTACTGCCGATGATGTCAATCAAAAGCACAAGAATGGACATCAACAAAGATGAAGCTCGAAGCATTATTACTTGCACAAGCTTTTGATACCAAAAACTAAGGCCGATACAACTTTTTACAAATTGCCAAGCAAACAATGAGGAATGCCTGCAAGCATAATATGATGCACCACAATAAGAATCTCACACTTAATAATCCTTTTTCCTGTTTTATTTTATTTTTTATTCAAAAGCTAACACAATAAAATTAAATTAAAAAGATGGACTGAGGGTAGGCCTGGGCGAGCAAGGCAATAATCCTTGAGCAGATCCATACATGATAAGGCCATCGAAAAAATAACACTGAAATCTGTTGACAACTTAGTGAATCAAAACTATATGCAATAACTTTTTGTCCATGAGAAGAGAAACAAGAACTCCAAGCAACAAATGAGCAATTGAGTGTTAAGATGCAGCAGTCAGAGCAATCGTACCTTTGGTGGCCTTCGTAGAGTATACATCATTGTCTTCAAGGACAAAATGAACACCTCTTCATTGTACTTCTTAGATCTGTTATCCCCTTCTGCCCCCACATATGATGATTCGTACCCAGGCTCGTTAAAGAAAGGTTTTGAATTTAGAATGAGGGCTTGTATTGAGACCAAAACTTGCAACATGGTTGATTTCCCTGGGATCCACATCTCAGTCTCTCTGCCAGACCAGGTGCCTAAAAGGCTGAGGCAGACTTTCCCACATTCATACAAATTTGGATTCAATCGAAGCCCCCTGAATAGTAGTATACCATCTGACAACGAGGAATCGCAATCAGATGCAGAATAAAATATTTATAATGCATAAAAAAAAAAAAAAGGAACATCACAAATTACATACCGGTGGCGCATTAGGATATGTAGGCGGGAATATACAGTCAAAGACAAAAAGGCCATCATGGTAGGGAGTGCCTGCAGGTCCTGCAATGACAGCCCTCAAAAGTTCCATCCTTGTTTCATAAACTCTAACAAATATAGTACCTGAGAGAGAAATAGAAGTCAGTCATCTAACTACGTGATGTCTTACAGCCACAAAATGGAAATGGTTTTCTAACTACAATTGAAAAGACTAATTTTGCAATCAATAGGTTGGCTAAGATGCAAGAACTTTAACAAAATCCCAAACTTGAGTCGGTAATAGCTTCAGAAGTCACCTGGTAAGTCTTTCTCCAAACTTTTCCATTCATCCTGAATTCTTTTGGCCCAAATTTTGGGAGGCTTCAGCAAAGAAAAGTTCAATGGAAAAGTAAGTAATAAAACAATAAATACAAACAAACAACAATACAATTTTTTGGCCAATTAGGGCCAATATAAAACATACTAATATTGAGGGACTATAACAAAGTTTTGAAATTTACAGAGGACCATGGCCCCCTCATGGTTGGCTTATCTGCCACCCCTGCAAACACACATGTATTAATGCATCTGTGTGGGTGGGTGGGTGGGTGGGTGAGAGAGAAAGAGAGTTGAATCTGCAATTAACTTTACTAACCGGCAGGTCAGAGACCCCCGTGCCCCTATAGTGATGATCAGAAAAGTCTTCGACAGTATCAAATTGTTTAAAGTTCCTGTACTTTTGCATGATACTATCTTCTTCATTATCTTCTACTTCACCATTAGAGCTCAACTCTGCAGGAACCATTGAGCTGCTTGTAGATGCAATCTGCTTGTTTTCAGACAGACAAGAAGTGGTTGTCTTAAATTTGCCTTCGGAATGACTAGGAATAGTTGAGCTGCTGGTGTTGGATGTCGTATTTGCACTTGAAGCAGGTTCCTTCAGCCAAGGAAGGGATGCCTCTACTCCAGGAGGAAGATCCACATTATCAAATTGAGACTGGATGGTCAAATAATCATCTTCATCATCTTCATATAAGTAGTCGTCATTGTCATCATAATCGTCGCCTTCAGCATAATCACCACAATCATTGCCAACCTCATCATCATCATGATATGACATGTCAGAATTGGAACCATTAATATTGTTAGAATTAATTGATCCAGAAGTTGAACCCCTGAGACGATAAGCACTATCCACTGATCCTGCTACACTAGTAGAATTGCCAATATCACTGGAGGAATTATTCTGCGTAAAGAGCAAAATTTCAGACCAGCAATGGCATATATTCAGCAAAAAGGAAGCCATCTAAAATTAATTTTGAGTTCGAAAAGCTCACCTTAATGTCTTGTTTCCATGTATCATGATCAACTAATTTTGATTTTCCCTTGGTGCCCATATCAGCTTTTCCATGGCACATCAAAACTTCAGCTCGAACTTCCCCTATTTGAGCATCCATTACATCACATAGAACAACCTAAAGAACAAATTGCTTCCAGCATTAAAAAATTTATAGCATAATTTACATAAACATTGCTGCATAGAATTATCGTTAAATTTAGTTCAGAAGAAGAGAAAACATTTTGAAAAAGTAATACTCAGCTGCAAAGATTGTGAAATTTGGCAAATGCCCTTTTTGTCAGTAAGTACAAAACTAGCTAAATCGGCCTAGAGGTGGGCAAATATGCAGCTAAGTACAGAATTATGCTTCATTGTGTTTTACAGTGCTAGGGGCATAAGCAAGTTTCCACAGCACATATTTGAATCCTTTGTTTACCAACCATGCAAGTAAAAGTTAAAACTAGAGTGGTGCTCAAACAGCTATTGAGAAGAGAACTAAAACTAGTCTTCCAATTCACTTAACATTTAACAGAGCCAAAATTTCCAGCACGCAAGGAACAATGAAGCACCGCTACAGATATCAGGCAAAAAAAGAAAAGGGCTAATGTATGTTTTGACAACTGTCAACATGTATGTTCCGACAGAAGAAGAAAAGGGCCCATTCTCCATATGTCCCTATATATAATGAAACTATTGAGGACACCATGTTAAGTTTCTAATCCATTGCTGCTTCGTAATGCACAGCAAATGCAAATAACATCCATGCCAATTATTCTAAGAAAGGGCCCAAGCATGACATCTCGAAACAAAGAACTCCAAGCATCATACCAAACTTAAAACATATTACCAGAATATCTCGAAACACGCACCTTTAATCAAATTTCCCAATTTAAGCCAAAAAATTATACAAATTTTCACTCAATCACATAACTAAAAAAACAAAAAACAACCTTCTAACCCTTTCTTAGCCAATAATTTCACAATTAGCTAAACACACCCCCAAATTAGTTAAAAATCCCATGTAAATCCCCAAATTTTATTCTTTTCGCCCTAAATTTTCTTCCTTTAAAATTCCAAGTTCATCATACAACCAAAATTAGCCAAACACACCCCCCAAGTTAGCTAAAAATCCCACGTAAATCCCCAAATTTTATTCTTTTCGCCCTAAATTTTCTTCCTTTCAAATTCCAAGTACATTATACAGCCAAAATTAGCTCAAATAACGAACTCAAACAATTCACCTTCAAAACCCTAGCTTTTTCCCAGAAAAACCACGTTAAAAAATAAATAAATAAACCAATCGCTTCAAAACCGAAAAAAAGAAAGAAAAATTCTGCTTGGCTTTTGGCCAAACCAAAAGTCAACTAATTACTTAAAAAATAAAAAAACACAAGACCGATCATGATCATGATCACAGAATAGTGATCAAAACGACACTGAATTACCAAACAAAACGCTAAAACGACGATGAAAACAAAAATCACCTCGCTTTGTTTGAGTTTCTTCGAGATCGAAAGATCCCGATCACCATCAACCATGTCTAGATCCATTAAAACCAAAATCGAACTCTAAAAAATTAAAAACAAAAACCATGTTAGTTAGTTAATACTGCACCGTCTCTCTCTCTCTCTGTAAAAGAAGAAAAACACAATCACAAAGAGTTTTCACTCGATCGGGAAGGACAGGAAGAGAGAGAGTGAGATCAAGAGTGACGTACAAGCAGAAACACGAGAATTTTGAGTCTCTGTTACTCTCTCTCTTACTGGTTTGTGTGAGAAAAATGGAAAGTGTTTTACAGAGAGAGAGAGAGAGAAATTCGCGCCTTATTAGGTATGCATTTTATGCTATCGTACGCAGGAACGTCACGATTAGTAGTTATAAGCTGAGGAAGAGATATCTTATTGGTTACACGTTTCAAGTTTTGAATCAGATTAAATGTTTGTTTGGGTGACGTGGATTATTAGTATTTGTTGTTGGGATAGTGGGGTTGGGTTAACGATGGAGTGAAGTGTAGGTGATTATTTCTGTAGAGACTTTGGCAAGTACTGGACTTTATCGTAGGATTTATCGGATACTTACTTTTTTACCTAAGCAAAGGTTTTGTTACTATCAGTACCCTTTTCCTTGAAAAAAAGGTCAAGGAAATTTACTTTTTGCCCTTTTGGCTTTTTTCAAGAGAAAACTATAATTTTAGTGTTCAATTTTATTTTTTTTAAGTGTTAAATTAGTATATTTTTTTTCTTTAAGTGTAAATTTTATTTTTTTTCTATTTAAGTATCCACATAATTAAGATTCAAAAATATTGATGTATTCGAGATTAACCGGCATGTGACAGCTTTTAATTAACACGTAGAAAAAACAAGTCTTATTTGGATTATTCAAAGAAAAAAAACAATTTGAGAGTCTTTTTTTTTAGTTTCCAGTTTTTATTTTATTTTTGTATTTGAATTCTTTTGATCATTTGAGACTAGAAAATATTATTGTAATTCGCATTTATTAACACACAACAAAAAAAAAGTGTTAAATGATGATATCTATGAAAAATTCAAGTTTATTCAGCTAATAATAATTGTTTTTTATTTTTTTCTTAATATATATATATATATATATATATATATATATATATATATATATATATTAAGAAAAAAATCAAAAACAATTATTATTAGCTGAATAAACTCGAATTTTTCAAATAATCCAAGTTCAAAACTCTTGAATTATGTAAAAAAAATATTTAAATGATGATATCTATGGAGTGTTTTAAAAAAATTAGTCAACAAACTTCAGTTCATTCCACTAATAGTGATTGATTTTATTTTCGTTTTAATTATTGCTAGCTATTTCTTTTATAAAAGTTTTATAATTTTTTTCTCAATAAATCTAAATAGCACATATTTTTATACCATGTATAAGTTAAAGACTACAAGATGGCATGAATTTCAATCACATTAGTATTTTTTAGTTTTAGGTGATTAAGAGAACTTAAATAAGAAAAAAATAATAATCAAAAGTTAAGCACTTAAATAGAAAAATAATCAAAAGATTATGAATTCAAATTGAAGTTTTTTCTTAAAAAATTGATCCTTTCTTTTTCTTAATAATCCAAATAGTCGATGCTTAATTGCGTGTTAGTTATAAAATCATCACGTAACAATTTATTTTAGACACATCAATATTTTTCGATCTCAAGTGATTGTAAACATAAAAAAAAAAATCAAAATTTGAATACTCAAACAATAAAAAAATTTATCGGTCTAGCACTCAAATAGAAAAAATTAAAAGTTAGACACTTAGATTGCAGTTTTTTTTTTTTTCAATTCAGGATTTTGTCTTTCTTATCATTGAGTTTAATTGTTGCAATCATAATTAGCTAAAGTCATTATTTACTCCCCCTACCTTATCCTCATCCATCAATAGTCTCGTACGCTATTAATTGAGTCAATTGAATCTTATATTGTAGAATTAAAGTCAAATAATGTCAATTGAATTGATTAGCAAGATTTTGAAGGTCGGGTGCCAATCTGTTAAAAAGAATATAGTTTGTACACTTATTGAAAGAATGGTATCGAAATAGTTCCGGATTAACTCAATTGATCTTTGACTTTAATTTTCCTGACTCAGTCAATAATTCAGGAGCTAAATTGATGGATTGAGATAACATTAAGTGGAACTTAAGGGTTTAAACATAACAATTTATTTGAAAAAGAAGTTGATTTTTTTTTTTAGGAAAAAAATAATTCAGAAACTTTTTATGTTTGTTTTAAATGGAAAAATTCATCGTTGTGTAAATAATTTTATAAATCAAACTCTATTATATTTATACAATTCAATCCAACTATTTTTCTTTGTTAACATAAACGCATTTGTTACATTAAAACTTGCTAGTTGGAAAATATTAATCATGTACAATTCAATTTTACACAAGACCCTTAGCTTTAATTTTAAAAGAATTAAAATAAACCAAATTACAAGGTTTTTTTTTTTTTCAAATATGTTATTTAGGGAGGTTTTATGAGATTCACATGACTATCGTGCGGTTCTCTAGTTGATAAAAATTTAGGTGGAGCATTTTAGACAAAATTGAGTGTTAGATGAATGTGATTAATATAAAATTAAATTCACACATAATTTAATTTGCCGATTTCATATAGTTTTTTTTTTCTATTTTTTTAAACTACATAATGAAAGGTTGCACTTTCCATCTATTCACACTTATCCCCTAGAAAAATTCAACGGGAGTGCACTTTTTCAGATTTGAATATTTCATTGAAGTTTTCTTGGTGGTACTTTATTAGTAATTGCATTGGCAATTTCCTAAAAAAATTAATAAAATAAAAACATTAAAAAGAGTGATTACAAAAGGACCTGAATAAGTTAAAAGATCAGTAGCCATTAATTAAATTAAGACTCATTATTAATCATCAAACACCTCCAATTCGCAATTATGAATGAAGATTAATAGTCATCAAACTCCTCCTATTCTATGGAGTTTTTTTTCCAGAATAATAATAATAATAATAATAATTGATAACCTAAGAAGGTAAGAAGGTGATGTTACCGTGATAAAGATAGCTGCAATGTTGTTAATTAGAAGGTTTTTGCAAAAAAGAAAAAAAAATGTTGTTAGAACATGCATAATTTATTTTTTGTTCAGATCTTTTCTATGATAAAAACGTAACACCTTCTCTTAGCAACATTCCTATAAAGACATTGATAATCTGATATCAAGATTAAGACATTTATTTAATTAATTTTTTTTATCTATTTTGTGAATATATGGATTGTGTTAAAGATTCAAAATTTATTTTCATCTTCTTTAAATTTTTAAATTTTAAATTTAGAAAATATGAAAATGAAAATAAATCCATTGAATTTAAATTTGTAATCCAAATCCGATATTATCCTTTGAATATGAAGCATTCTCGTATAGAAACAAAGACTTGTTTGGTCTTCGTGTGTTGGTCAGCTACTTGTTAGATATACTTAACCAAACTTAAAAAACTGACGACAAGCTACGTAAGTAATTACCTAAACTAAGAACCAAATGATCCAAGCTCATGGTTTCCTATTATTCAACCAAAAATTCCAACTGTCCCATAACAGAGAAATATAGAATGTCTGAACACTCATATGGCTAATTCTGAAATATAATAATCAGATGAAAAGTTGAAGAACAGAACTAGCTAGATAATATTAAGATTAGCAGAATTTGATCCAAATCAAACCTTAAAAATCCAAACTGGTAGGAAGAAAGATCTTCAAAGCCCGCACTGCAGAATCTAAAACATTTAACGAGTTGCATTCTCCATAAAAAATAGTTGAGCAGTAGCAAGAACATCTGATTTCGATGAGTCAAGTGAACCACTTTTGGCTGTTCTTTTTTAAGGTGGAGCAGGCTTATTTCCGACGGCAGTTGACATGCAAAAATGCACAAGCACTTGCGAAACACAGAGGGAGTAAGTGACTTTTTTTATAAATTTTTTAACCTTATCTCTTTATGTGTTCTTTGCTTTTGTTAGTTTCACACCGTGCTGCCTATTCTCATAATTATCTATTTTTTCTTCACTACCTTGGATGACATTTTGCCTGAAAAAATTTGAAAATTAATTTTTATCCACATATTTAAGTATTAAGTATGTAAAATTTTTATCAACCTACATATTTGATACCTTGTTGAACTATAGTTTAAATTTTATAGGTCAATAATAAATTTAGTCCATCGTGTTTTTTCTTTTATAGGTATAAAGTATTTAAATCTTTTTATATCTTTATTTAAGAAATATGGTGAAAAATGAAGACTTTATATTGAGCTTTTGGGGTTCTTATATTCTCATATTATTAAGCTAATAGAACTTCCAATTCGTTCGTGAAGTAACAATTTATCGAACCACGTAAATTCTATGTGTTAATAATTTATTTAACTTTATCTTTTGATTATTTTTTACTATTATTTGTCTTGTTTTCGTTGTTTATCATAATATGTCTCATTTATCATGTATAGATAAGAAGAATAATGACAAATTATTGTTATTATTATTGATAAAAAGCAATTAGATTATGAAAAGAGCTGGCAAGAAAGATATTACAAAAAAGAATAATAACATCAATCCCGAAAGTTTTTCGACTACAACTTTATTCATATGTGATAATGAAAAACAAAAACCAGCTAACACTGCAATGATAATTTACCATATCAATGAAAGATAGCCTCTAGAAAGGACCACAAAATACAGCAAAAAAATCTCAAAGAAGCGAGAATCACCACTAAAGAGATGCAAAATACACGACCAAGGCCCAAACCTATTTTACTAAATGAAGCTACAACTATATAAGAATGGGTATAAATTGTATCACTATAGAACCTGTTTTACTAGATTATTAGAAGCTGCAAGCCTTTTATAAAGAAATTGAATAAGAATCTAATCTTTTTTATTTGACACAAAATGCATAATCTTTGTCACGTTTTTCAAACTAAAAAAAGTGGTCTTTCATGTCACCATTTTCAAATTAATGTAGTCTTTCAAGTCAAGTCTTTAAAATTAACATAGCTTTTCATGTTATTTTTTTCAAATCAACATGGTCTTTTAAGTCAAGGTCATCAAAATTAACGTGATTTCACAAATTTCAAATTTATATGGTCTTTCGTATCAAGTTTTTCAAACTAAGTTGTGGTCTTTCATGTCACATTTTCAAAACTAATCATGATATTTGAAATCATGTGTTGCGGATTAATCGTGATCTTTCATGTCACAAATTTAAATTTATATAGTCTTTCAACTTGCGTTTTTTAAATTAATCATGATCTTTCACGTCACAGATTCTAAATCAATTGGAATTTTTCATTTTCCACTTCAATTTCTTTGATCATATTGTGCAATTTATTTTATTATTGATACATGTAAATGAGGGCTTTCGGGGCCATTTGATAATTTGATTGGATTTTATCCTATTTTTATTTTTTTCTAAATTCTAGTAATATCTAATTATTTAATAAGAGGATAAGACCCTTGATTGGTCAAGATCCGAATCATTCAATTGGTTGACAAATGTTTAAGAATAGGCACGGACTTTCATCATAACAAAATTAGAAATCAAGTTAGAATTCGTATGCAATGCAATTTATCTTAAGTAAGACGGTATATGGTGATTTTTAATCTTTCCAACAAGTAACCAACTCTTTATCTCGAACTCTAAGCGGACCAGCTATAAGGTTTGTTAGACCTATAACACTAGGTGATGACTTTATTTGCTCCCTCATTCCCTATTCTCTAATCTTTGCCTCCCGACATACCCTGCGATAGAATGACGACTCCACTAGGATTTCTAAGGTTGAGCTTTGCATGCATTTTAGTAAACCTAAATTTTTATTATGTGGTGAATTTTTATACCTATATGCTGATTTGTATAATTTGTTTGCCTTTATTTTCTTGTGTATTTCCTTCGTATGTCCGATCATGATCGTCTTGCATTTTTTCGTATGATTATGTGTATTTGTAACTTAGTTTAAGGGACTAAATATAAAGTAATGTCATCCCACACTCATCGCATTTTTCAAACTAATCATAGTCTTTAATATCACTTTTTTCAATCCATACGATCTTTCAAGTCATATTTTTCAAATTTAATCGTGGTCTTTTACGTTACAAATATTAAATTGATCGTGATTTTTTTCGTTATGAATTTCTAATCAATATGTGACTTCTATGTCACATTTTTCAAATTATTCATGATCTTTCAAGCCACAAATTTTAAATCAATTGTGATTTATTATGTCATGCATTTTCAAATTAATCATGGTCTTTAAAGCCACGGATTTTAAATCATTCGTAATCTTTCATGTCACATATTTTCGCTTTAAGTTTTTTATCAAGTTATGTATTTTATTTTATTTTACTTTGGTACATGTGAATGAGGGCTTTCAAGCCCATCTAATGATTTGATTGGGTTTCATCCCATTTTTAACTTTCTTTTACATAATAAACCTATTCATTTCGAGTGAGAATAAGGCTATTGATCGATCAAGTTCCAAATCACTCAATTGACCGAGTTTTAAATTTAATGGCAAACACATCCAAATAGGTATAGACTTTCATCATACTAAAAATAAAAAATTATGTTCAAATTTATATGCAATGCGAGTTGCTTTAGACAAGGAGTAGAGTGATTTTGATCTTTACTGCAAATAATAATTCATTACCTCAAACTCTAAGCGAGACTTGCTTTTTGGGTTTTTAGTGATCTTTAATACTAAATGACGACTCTATTTTCTATCATTTTCCTATAAAAAGAAGAAGAAGAAAAAAAAATGTCACCTCCCGACATGGCTCCTGCGAAAATGTTATAAAAATTAGTTTTCTACACACTAAATCTAATTTACATTTAAAATCATACAAGAAATTTGACAACGAGGATTTCAAGACATATAATTTGTTAGCAGATACAACATATATTGCTCAAATGTACAATAAATTGCATAAGGGATACAAAGCAAAACCTCCGACACTATAAGAGGGTTCAAGGAAAAAAAAATGAGAAAAAAACTAAAACGTGTCGGAAAAACTTCGGCACGGTTTGCATAATACATTATTGTCCAAAAACATAAGCCATTCATATAACAATGTTATTGTACCATTAGGAAAATATGAATTGTTGAGTTGACATAGTCATTTTTTTGAGAAATCACTCTTGCAAACTTACAATCCAGTCGGTTTAGATAGATTATAGACCTCTTTAAGGATTTAAAAGCTGATTGCAACTCGTTTAATCTAGCTTTATATTAAAAAAAAAATACCAAAAATACACTTAAAACAAGTAGTAGAACACATAGAATGATTAATTAAACTCATTCACGTTCGAATCTGGAAGTTAGATTGTCTTGTAAACCACTATCCAACCATTTTTATTTATTTTATTACAAAATCTTAATAATTGAAATTGGCATAAAACAAATAGCAAAACACTAGGTCACTAAGTTTTGTTTACATCTAAAATATTATAGCAAATTTGACATCATGGCACAAAAATATATTTTTGTTGGCATACAAAATATGTACCACTCAAATGGTAGAAATACAACAAAGTCTATCGTGGATAATAAGCATAAACTCCAACACCATGAGATAATTTAAGGGAAAAAAGAGACAAAAGCTAAATAATTTAGAAAACATTTAGCATTCCTTCTATGAGGAGCTTATGCAACACGTTTGTCGTTATCCAAAATGTGGAACATCCTAAAAAGAGAATTAAAAATGTAGAGTCGCTATCTAATACTTAAAATAGACTAGGAAACCTAAATAGGAAATTAGTTTCGGAGT